GGCAACTGTGGCCCTCCAGCTGTTGGTGAACTACAAGTCCCATCATGCCTGTGCCTTTGGGAGTCATGCTTGTTACTGTCAGTTTTGCAATGCCCCATGGGACTTGTAGTTCTACAACAGCTGGAAGGCCATGGTTGCCCACCCCTGACATACTGTAGATCATACAATAGAAATCTGCACCCTAATTATTTTGGCATTACTACCCCCTAAAAGCCCATAGCCATGATAGTACTCAAAGGCCACAGATTACTGTGATGCTTGTTTCTTCAAAATGTAGTTTTTTTTTTGTTTTTTTTTTTGTTTGTTTTTTTGTCCCCAAATTCCAAATTGTAACTTGCTCCACATGTTTAGCGACAGCTACCTATATTGGTGCATCTATGCAGAAAAGCAAGAATATATTTTAACCATATATGCATGAATTACAGATTAATTATTACTAAGCAATAAAAGCATTATCACTTACCATACATCTAAAAATTGAGAAACAGGATAGAGCGGGGAAGACACATAGGTGCTGGGTCTGACAGATGGACGTGGGGTCACATCAGGGGGCTGTAGGCGGCATTCTAAAAAAAAAACCCTTAAGTATGTAATAAGAGTATTTATATGGATGTACACAATCACCATCACATACTTACTGTTTATAGATTTGCACACAATGGCTCTTTTCAAGTAACCTAGATCAGAAATGCTACAGTAGGCAGTCACCCAAATATTAGGAGGTTTATATTAAAGCCACTGGCAATCTAAAAATATAAAAAACAAAATATGTACAAGGTGCTGCAAACACAACCAACCTATATAAAGCCAATAGCACATATCCCTGTAACATTAGTCCTTAAGCAGTTACCTGATTTTGTGATATATTGAATAACAGACATATAAATCCTCATAAATGTGGACCCCTTTGTAGCAATCGTACCTACAGAGATGGACGCGGTTCAACCATTTTGCTCCAACCTCCATCTTGGCAAAGGATCATCCATCTTGTACAAATATATCTTTCCTCATTCCCCCTCTCTAAGATCCACAGTGACATGTGGTCGGGTGTGTGTTGGAAGTGCCACAGGCAGGCCAGAGCACAGCAGGGGGCTCTGAGCTATAAAACCTCTGAGCTGGGTGCAAGGCGGTCTAAGAAACTGTGTAATCTGGCACCTCGTAAAAGGATAACCCAAGCCTTCCCCTGAGTTCAAAGACATTCATACATATGTAACCGTTCCACAGATGCGTCTGCATATTAATCTACCCGCGGGTGGAATGTTACTTGTGCCTAGGAAAAGTTATGAGCCAAATTATAAGCTAGATTGGTTCTAGCTTGGGTCTCCGCGTAGACACCCCCTCCCCAAATTAGGCATTTGTCCTTGGCTTCAGAGACACCCCCTGCTGGGGGGCTATAAAATAGGCTGTCAGGCCTAAGAGTTGAAGTTGAAGAAATCTCCCTTTTAACATCAGAACCAACTTGGGAGACAGTGCCCTTTTGCTCTGAAACTTGATCTGCTTAACCCAGGACTTTTGGCAAGTACTCTACCTCTCTAAACTTCTTTCTGTTACCTTTTTGCTGTGTTATTGTTCTCCGTATTTATATGTATATTGGTTACATCTTTTCTTTTGTAAATATTTTTATTTTACCCTTTTGACCTTTTAGTAATCTTTCTTTCTGAAAGTGTTGAACTGTTTCTATAGCTCTTTAATGCAACTTATGAATTCCTGCCGCTGAAGAGCACTACTATGTGTATTTAACCCTCTGTATAGCCTGTCTGCGGTGACAGTGGTATCCAGACGATTATCCAATCATCCTAGTGTTATTACTGATATTGCCGAGTTTCCTCCTTCTCTGTACAAAAAGGAGGTGGTGGCAGTGTGAAGGGTTAATTGCATAATTAACCTGACCCAGTAACAATCGCACTCAGGCTGCCGGTACATCAATTTGTGGTCCATTAGCTGGAAAATCGTTGTGCAGGGTGCAGCTGGGCGTGGCATTGTTACGCACGTGACATCGTGGTTTTAGATTGGCTAGTCCTTCGGTCACGAGTTTGGTGAGAAGGGCAGGGATCTGACGCGCGATCGTCACACCCCTCACCTAGGCTCTTGAAGGTATCCACTCTCTCCCTAGGATAGTGTGTCAGCGGGCTAGAGGAGGTGTAAGGATCATGTCCCTAACCACAGCCAGCTGGGGAGACGAGCTACAAAATATAAATCAAACAGTAGCTAAAGTGAGTATTAGGACAACAATCGTAAAACAGTGTATATCTCCATCAGTCACTTCCTCTGAATATATGCCATAATTACCTGCCTCCTATAAGTCCCTTGTTTGCTTTTCTGCCATTCTTTCGACAGTCTCACGCCTGTAATAGTACCCTGACACTCTGCTAGCCAGTTGACCCGAAAATAGTCCCGACCAGGGCGTGCACGCTGAGGTGTGATCTATGTCGCAAAAGTCTTTATTACAATTCTTAAAAAAAATTTAAAAAAAAAATCCATAAAGATGAAATGGTTTAATTTTTTGAAGTGCATGTGCCTATAAAGTTCATGACATTACAACCTTCTAAAGATGGTGTGGATTCTACACAACTCCCCCATATAAATTTTCCTTAAATACTTTATTAATGCCATCTTTAGGGTTCTAACTTGGAAACATCGCCCTTCTAGAATTAAATTGGCAGTCCTACAATACCCCAAGCCTCTGGGTGGACTTGAAGCTCCAAATCCTTGGGTACAGTTTATTCCAGCCCAACTTCAACACATGACTGGTTGGGAATGCTGCATATTCCCCCTTTCTTTTTTTTATCATTTTGTACATACTCCAGAACATGAGCCCATTATTAGCCTTGGAGACCACTTCTTAAAACGAATTAGTCTTACAGTCCCGTGGTGTTCCAGATGAGGAAAGTCTGGTTGAATGCTAAAAGGCTGTTAGAGATTACTGGCTATACCAGGTTCACATTTATATGGATCTCTGTGGGATAGATCCACATATGCTTTCCTAATGATATTTTTATGTTTAAATGCTGTCTAGCTGGAAGGGGGAGTACGAGAGCTTAAACAATCAGAAGTGTATATGTTAAGATTATTATTCTGTTTGTGGTTTTGATGAGCTATTAAGTTAAATGAAAGTTCAGTGGTCCTTTACCACTTCCCGTCTGGCCCATGTATATATAAACGTCCGGATGGTGGCAGTGCAGGGACGGGTGGCCATTTTTAAATGTCCTCCCGCTTCCCTGCCTGTGCACGCTTCCTGGGAGCATGCGGCACAGCGATCTGGTGCCCGCTGTGTCCTCCAAACACCAATTGCTGTACGGGACCTCTGTCTGAGGTCCCAATCATATGATCACTGATTGGCCAATCACTGATCACATGAATAGTAGTAAGCAAGATGTCACTTCTGACATCATTGCTTACTACGTGTGAAATCTATGAATGATCACAGAGGTCATATGGTACAAGGCTGTTCACAACAGCCTTGTACCATGTGACAAGCTGTGACCAATCACAGCGCTCTCAGTATTTCTCAATGGCTGCAAGAATGCAGCCAGAGAGAAGGAGAAATTATTGCTTTTACAGCCTTCATGGATGTAAAAGCAATCTGTTTAAAAAAAAAAAAAAAAAAAAAAAAATCATCCCCCCCCCCCCCCCCCCACAAGTAGTACAGTGTCACTATATGACACTGTAGTGCTAGGGTGACAGTATGTTAAAAAACAAACAAAATCCATAAATAGTATAAAAATGTAAAAAAAAAAAAGAATTTTTAAATTATAATTTTTAGTTAACTAATTTGGGTTATTTTTTTTTACTAAAAAGATAACTGAATACATTTTGGCCAAGATTTATGAAGAAAGATTATTTGCAAAAATTTTTATAAGAAAAACACTTTTTTTTTCAAAATGTTTGGACTTATTGATTTAGCAAAAAATCCCAGTGGTGAATAAATACCACCAAAATAAAGTTTTTTATCTGTCTCAAAAAAATGCAAAAAAATTCATATGCGTACAGTGTGCATGACTGTGCAATTGTCATTCAAAGTGTAATAGCACTGAAAGCTGAAAATTGGCCTGGACAGGAAGGGGGTGAAAGTGTCCAGACTTGAAAGTGGTTAAAGCAGATTCTTTCACCTTGTTCATTCAGGACAAAGTGATGGTATCTTTGCAAAGGACTTCCCTGCTGCTTTTTTGCTCTCGGGTATGGGGGAGCACATGACCTGCTCACATGTCATGGTGCTGGGGTCTAAAGGCCAATCACTAGACCTGATCACTGTCACATGACCTAGCAGCTGACACTGAGGATTATTGTGCCAATGTTGATGTAGGAAGGGGCAGTAGGGGGAACACTGGCATGGTGAGTGTCAGTGGGTTTAGTGGGGGGGGACCTTTGCCTGGACACTGTCTTTGCCCTAAATGAGCAAGGTGACAGCGTCTCTTTAACATGGCGTGTAGAATGTGTGCAAAAATATATTTCAATAAATACTGTTAATTAGAATAATAATTATAAACGTGACACATTTTCTCTTCTCTGCTCTAACAGGAAAAAAAAATGACTGGAGTGTGGAGCTTTAATTTACTCCTAATTGTATATTCACTTATCTCTTCAAAAGGCCATTGTCCTAATTACAGTGTTTCCGAAGCAGAGTGATAGCAGCTTCTAATGACATAGTTACGAACAGTCTTTAGGTGACATCCTGTCCTGTACGTGCCATTTGTCTTAAGCTCATCTGTCTCCGTGACTGAAACAGTAAGGTTGCAGCTTTAACAACATTTGTCATCGCTGGGCTGAAATGTTACCCAGAGGAGGTGTCAAGGCTGTGCTCATTAAGTCATGCTTCACATGTAGTTATTCGCGTACGTCTAAATATTTTCTATTTCCTTTTACACCTTTGTTTATATAAATCTATCCTCAGGGTTTTACTCTTGCAAAAACATTAGCACACTGAAAGTGGATCATATACTGTTGAAAATTAATTTACTGTTCTGTGCATCCCCTTAACTATTTTTTCCTTTACTTCACAGATACTGTAAAAAAGCTGCAGGATCAGAAACATGACATGGAGCGTGAAATAAAAATACTGAACCGGAAGCTGAGGGTAAGGACACCATGCACTGCGTGTGAGTGACAGCTAAAGTGTTCATAAATATTGGCTACATGTGGCTGGATACTCCTAATTACACAGCATTTCACTGTAAGGCACATCAGTCTGCAGCAGACAAACTCCTTGAGTAAGCAGCTAATAGACAGATGTTTAACATGTTGATCACAAAAACAGCTACCCCAAATCACTGAAGGTAGTAGTCTCTGGATTCCTTATATGGCAGGCGGGAGGCGGTTAAAGCATAAGTCCACCTTTTGAAAAAGAATAATGCACATCTTTTTGCAAGTAAAAAAAAATGTGCATTTTTAAATTTTTTTCTAAGGAGCCTGCTGAGCAATGCACACGCAGTCAGCAAATTGTGGGTGCAATCTCAGGCTCCTGCAGACTCTCATCATAGCTGTCTGCCCGTACCTCGTATGGGCAGGCAGTTACTTGAGAGCAGGAAGATCAATGGACTAGAAGAGCGCTCACCATTGCCTTCATAGTTCATTGAGAACTATAAGCCGTCAGCCGCAATGGCTGACAGTACTTGTTTAGAACCCCCGAACGTTAGATATATTTTTAAGCAGAGTCCCTAGAGAATAAAATGGTGGCAGTTTTTATGTCGCACAGTACTTGAGTAGTGGTTTTTCAAATGCAATATTTTAATGAATACAGTTTAATGAATTTTAGTGACCGCAAACACAATATATTACCCATATATACAAAAAATGCAGCGCATAAAACAAATACAATGAATATGTCACAAGTGTAAATTACAATATATATCAGTGCAAACAATGCAATGTTCATAGAAAAGTCCTTCCAATGTGTATCGGTGAAAAAGTAATATGATATTGCTAATCACAACAAAGTGTCTGGTTCCACTCAGTACTCTGGGGTCCAAAAAGTGATCCACCACCACTATGCACTCACCAGAAGGCTACTTGTTAGGTAGGAATTGTAACAGAAGATCTAGGCAATCATTCTCCAATGTCCGATAGTCGGGTTGTCTCCTAGGGGAAAAGCTCACCGCACAGAGCCCAAAGATACAGTATATATAGTGTAGTATTTATTTAAAACATCCATAAAAACATTCCTTGTGGAAAAAGCTAGACAACATAGACATTAGGCATACCAAGATGGCCGCCGTTTTGAGGCACGGAACCAGCGGTGTGACTTCAGCATGTAGGCTCCACCCAAAACATTTCGTTCACATGCACATCCTCAGGTGTATGCCCATATTAGTGTAGTATTTATTTAAAACATCCATAAAAACATTCCACGTGGAAAAAGCTAGACAACATACACATGCAGCATACCAAGATGGCCGCCATTCCAAGGCATGGAACCAGCGGTGTGACTGCAGCACGTAGGCGTTTCGTTCACATGCACATCCTCAGGGGTACACCCAGTGCCGACATCTGAAAAAAAGACACCATTTAAATAGCCTGCAAAGCGCGCCTGAAATTACTGGACACCATTTTGTCATAGTCCATAATTAGAGCGATCTCAATCGGAGTATACAAAACATAAAAAGATAATTCGATCGTACTTATACTGTGTACTGTACTGCTATCATTATAAAACACTGGTGATATTTAAATACCCCACAGAATTATAGGGCGCCATTTTTTTGAAGTTTAACTCAACAGCATCCGTTCGGGCACCATTTAATTGTGGGCATTATTAAAAAAGAAATAATTAAAAATAAGCGGAAAATAAACCTAAAAATGAATGTTATCAAAGTAGCACACCAGACCTCAGTATAATGCTACATATTTAAATATACTTATGTATAATCTAATATCAGAAAATTATTAAGTCAGTGATCCATATCTCAATGAACATATAGGATGCATCACTGATTATCGAAACCAATCATACTGTAAATAAAAATCAAACTATTAGTAACTTTAAAATTAAAAAGGCAGTTTAAATCTGTGTATTATAATTAATACATTAACAGTAAGAAAATATATTAACAGTAAAAAATTGATAGCAGACATCTCAACTATTATCTATGAAACAGTTAATATCTTTATCTATATTCAAGCCATGGGGCACCAATGTAAACATATCATATATCCATTTAGTTTCAAGTTTGGATACCTCCCTACGTTTATTACACCCTTGCCAGTTGGGATGTATAAGATCAATGCCCGTAAACTTAATGCCTTGTGGGTTTCTCCTGTGGAAATCTAAAATGTTTGGATAAGAGAATGTTCTTTAAATCCTTTTTTAATATACAAATGTTCCCTAATTCAATCTCTCGTACGTCCCGTTCTTCCAATATATTTATTACAGGAACGTTCCAACAGGTATACTACATAACCGCTATTACAGGAAATAAAGGAATTGATTGTATAACTTTTGGTAATACTTATTATGCCTGTTTCCCCCTAATTGACAGATCATGCAACGGTTGCAGGGAATAAAAGCCTTTTAGGTCAGAAAAAGGAAATTTCTTTAGGGGGATTAACTACATTGGGTGCAATTTTATCCCTAAGAGTAGGAGCTCTCTGAAAGTTTACTTCGGGCTTCTCTGGTAAAAAGTCTCCTAAAACAGAGTAGTTTTTTAGTATACCCCAATGTTTAGTAAACATGTTCCTAATTTGTGAATGTTGAACTGAAAAATTAGTAATAAAGGGACAGATCATTTTAGAACGTATATTGGTCCTCTGAATGCTTAATAAGGTCTCCCTTTCTAACCCAGCTACCTGTTCGATAGTATTATCCAAGATGGCTGCTTGATAACCTTTTTCGATGAATCTCCTCTTTGTAAATAAAAATCTCTGATATTTTGTCAGTTATGTCTCATCCTTATAAATTGGCCCCTAGGTATGTTTTTCAACAAAAGTGGATGATGACAACTGTCAATTGGAATAAAGGCATTCCTATCCGTAGGTTTAAAATATGACTTGGTAATAATCCTGCTGCAAATGTTAATCAACATTAAATCAAGGAAATTTCTCTTTTACTGTATGTATGCATTAAATTAATAGTCTAAATGTTATTAAGAGTACAGATGAAAATTATTCAATATATTGAGACCGTATTACCCAGTTTTTTTGTAAAGCATTAAATATGATGTTATGCTGAGTTAATAGATACCACACATCTTGTGCTTTAAAATTGCACACATCAGTGGATCGGCGACAAACTACAGTACATTATATCATCCATAGGCAATTATTTAAAAGCTTTTACAGGTTACCATTTAGAGTTACATAGGAGGTCTGGCCCTAGAATTATTGCTATTGCTCTGACATTAGTGATGATACCTCACGTGTGGTATGATCGCTGTTTACATATGCACGTGGGACCCATGCGTGCATTTACCTTTGCATGTAAGCACAGGGGAAGGGGGCGCATTAAACTGTTGCCTAAATATTCTTATTTAAAAAATTTTATTTTTACACTGTATCTTTATTTTTTATATTTTCTGATCACTTTTATTACTATCACAAAGGATAAACATCCGTTGTGATAGTATTGTCTGACAGGTCCTCTTTTTGGCAAGATCTGGGGTCTGTCCAGGGAAGCCGATGCCGCAGGTGGCATCTTTTTTGGTCTTCCTGCAACCTGTAAAAGTAATCCGCGGCTGTATAGTTGCTAGGATTACATTTACTTGAGAGAGAATTGCCAGATGTAAAAAATGATACCGGGATCATGGTTGTAGTCTCAGCCGTGATCCCTGTATAACCACCTCGTCACCAGTATGTATATGTACAGTATGGTATTAAGGTGGTTAAATCTGTTACAAATTTGATGATGCCTTCTTTGCTAAATGTTTTCTATTGGACAAATTTTTACACCCCTGTCTTAAATGTTTTTTTTGATGATCATCACAGGAAGAATCTGCAGAATGGCGCCAGTTCCAGGCTGATTTGCAAACTGCTGTTGTAATTGCAAATGACATCAAGTCTGAAGCACAGGAAGAAATTGGAGAACTTAAACGGCGGCTGCAAGAAGCACTGGAAAAGAATGAAAAGCTTAACAAGGAACTGGAGAATGCTGCATCTCGCAAGTAAGAAAACTAGTAGCAGTCATAATAATCTGGTATTATAGTAAATTAAGAAAGTTCCTTGTGTGTGTATATCTGCTTTCTAATTTTTTTTTTTTCTCTTTATGCCTCTTTAGACAGGAGGAGGAGCGTGGTCGTGTCTATAATTACATGAATGCTGTGGAGAGAGATCTTGCTGCTTTGAGACAAGGAATGGGTCTTAGTCGCAGGTCTTCTACCTCTTCTGAGCCCACACCCACTGTCAAGACTCTTATCAAATCCTTCGATAATGCATCCTCTCCAGGTAATATTACAAATGCAATTAAAATAGTACTGAAGGGTGGAACTTTTTTTTTTTTTTTTTTTTTTTTTTAAGTAAGGGGGTCAGGTTCCTTTTTCCACCTGTGTCCCTTTTGGGGAGATTTCCATTTACTTCTTGACTAATAGCTGCATGTGAGGAAGTGAGATGAAATCCACCAAAATTGTGTCACCATTTGATGATTTTTAATCTACTATTCTGGTGACCACTCAAAATTTTTGATTTTCTTTCACTTTCAGTGATGATGGTCATCAGGATAAATAGGGGGGCACAGACAGTCAGATCTATCTGAAACAAAAAAAAAGTTTTGCCTTCAGTTACTCTTTAAACCAGTTTTGGACAGAACTCACTCAAACCATTACAGAAAATCCTGTTCTTTGTTTTATAGTCCCTACGCCTGCAACAGCAGTGGCAGCAGCTACAGCAACAACCACCATTCCCCGCACACCTCTGAGCCCCAGCCCTCTGAAGACACCGCCTGCTGCCGCTGTGTCCCCAATGCAGGTATCTACCAAACAGACGTTTGGCTTGTATTTTTATTTTAATGATATGTGTACAAGAAGTATAGTTACTGACTGCTAATGTATTTGGTTAATTCCTAATAACAATAAAGGTTCATATAAGGGAAATGCAGTACATTTCAGTTATGAAAAGTAAACATCTGAAAAAATAGCAGCATACACCTTGAGATGTTATTTTTTAGGCTCCCTGGTTATGGAGAATAGCCATATTTGAGCAATCGGACACAGGAAGTGCACAGTCTAGGGCAGGGGTCTCCAAACTTTCTAAACATAGGGCCAGTTTACTGTTCAGAATTTCGGGGGGGGGCCAGATTATGGGCATTGGTAGTAGAAAGTGTACTGGCATCAGTGGGATTAAACAACACATCTTTGGCATTAGGGGGAGGAATAGCTCCCCTTCACTGGTATAAGTGGGAGGAATAGTGCCCAGTTGTGCCAGTAGGAAGAATAGTGCCTCGTCATTGGTGTAAGTTTTAGGAATAGTGTCCGATTGTCGGTGTCAGTGAGAGGAAATAGTGCCCCAGCATTTGGTGTCGCTGGCAGGAATAGTGTCCTATTGTTGGTGTCAGTGGGGGGAAATAGTGCCCCATCGATGGTATCAGTGGGAGGAATAGTGCCCCATAGTTGGTGTCAATGGGATAAATAGTGCCTCATTGTTGATGGCAGTTGCAGGAATAGTGTCTTGTATCAGTGGGAGGAAAAGTGCCCCATGAGCCAGATAAAGGCAAGCAAAGGGCCACATCCGGCCCCCGGGCCGCAGTTTGGAGACCATTGGTCTAGGGCTTTAGAATGCATAAGGATATTAAGGATAAGTCTTCCTTCCTTACCAAACCTGTTGTACAGACATTTCCTTTAGCATCATGCAGGGCTTTCCTCAGACATATTTTCTCATCTTCATTTTAACATGACAGCAGTAAGAACAGAAGGTCTGCCATTACATAGGGAACTGTTGTGTCCTTTGTAGTGCCTGACATCCATCCCTCCCTTTTTTTTTTTCTCAAACAAGAGGGAGATTTAATGAATTTCTTGATTTCATTGATTTAAAGCTTTTCATCTGTACTTGGCTATGCATTTGCTATCTGGTCTCTGAGTGGCCATTCTTGCAAAGGATCCATGTGCATGTTTATGCCTGTAAAGCATTGACGGGTGAGCAGTTTTCTTATGAACATTTCTCTTCTTGACCAGACCCTGAGGTAGGAATGAAGTGAATGGGAATCTCTGTAAAGTAAGAGGAAATCCACTTTAGTATAGATGCCTCTATTAGAAGATCACCCCTCACCTCCTGTTCTAGTGACTAACATAAACGTTTGAGTTTTCCCATCAATTTGTGTCCTAGAGATGGTGAATCTTACCAGTGGGAACATAGAGTACAGTAAAAACATAACAGAAGTTTTAGCACTTCCATGCTAAAGAAAAAAGTTATAGTTTGAGATATTTTAATATTACCTGATTTGGGTGGCATGTACAAGGTTGTGCTCATATATTCTCTGTGACATTTAGGGGTCTATTTATGTGTTCACTTATGATGCTAACAACTTTCACCTAAGATTCACACATTTTCTAATTGTTCACTTGTAAGTGTACTGTGTAAGTTATGGCATTCTGGTGCGAAAATATTTAAAATAGACTCCTTAATTTGGAAAAACAAACGAGTATGTGGGATTTTAAACGGTGTGGAAACCTACCTCCAGAAAACACTCTAAACACATAGAGCAGGTAAAATAAGTATTGAACACATCACCATTTTTCTCGGTAAATATATTTCTAAAAATGCTATTGACATGAAATTTTCACCACATGTTGGTAACCACCGTGCAATCCATACATACAAAGAAACCAAAAACAAATAAGTTCAGAAATTAGGTTATGTGTAATAAAATGGAATGAGACAGGGAAAAAGTATTGAACACGTGAAGAAAGGGAGGTGCAAAAGGCATGTAAAGTCAAGACACCAGCTGAAATCTATCAGTAAGTAGAAAGCAATACTGCCACTTGTCAGTGCAAATTAATATCAGCTGGTTCATACTCAACTGATGGCCTTTAAAAAGGTTTCTCTTTACCAAAGTTTCACACAAGAAACATCTCATGATGGTTAAAAGCAAAGCGTTCTCTCAAGACCTTCGCAACCTTACTGTTACAAAACATACTGATGGGTTTGATTACAGAAAGATTTCTAAACTTCTGAATGTTCCAGTGAGCTCTATTGGGGCAATAATCCAGAAGTGGAAAAACCTAATTTCACCATAAACTGGCCACAACCAGGTGCTCTTCACAAGATTTCTGACAGAGGAGTGAATAGAATAATCAAAAGAGTTGTCCAGGAGCCAAGGTCCACTTGTGGAGAGCTTCAGAAAGACCTGGAATTAGCAGGTACAATTGTTTCAAAGAAAACAATAAGTAATGCACTCAACCCCCATGGCCTGTATGCATGCTCACCACTAAACTCATTGAGAGGAAAAAGCATGTTGAAGCTCGTTTAAAGTTTGCTGCACAACATTTAAACAAGCCTGTGAAATACTGGGAGAATATTGTCTGGTCAGAGGAGACCAAAATTGAACTCTTTGGAAGCCATAATACACACCATGTTTGGAGGTCAAATGACACTGCACCCCAAAAACACCATCCCAACAGTGAAGTTTGGAGGTGGGAACATCATGGTGTGGGGCTGTTTTTCAGTACGATAATGGCAAACGTCATGTCCTTGAAGGAAGGATGAATGGAAAAATGTACCAAGACATTCTGGATACAAATTAGCTTCCATCTACCAGGATGATGAAGATGAAACGAGGGTGGACATTTCAGCAAGACAATGATCCCAAACACAAAGCCAAGGAAACTCTCAAATGGTTTTAAAAAGAAAAAAAATAAAGCTGCAAGAATGGTCCAGCCAATCACCTGACTTGAATTATTATTATTTATTATTATACATGATTTATATAGCGCCAACAGTTTGCTCAGTGCTTTACATTATAGTGGGAGACAATACAGTTCAATACAAGAGTGAGTTTAGGGCCCTGCTCCTTGGAGCTTCCAATCTAGGAGGGAGGGGTGAGTGGTACAATAGGTAAAACTGTGGGGGATGGAGTGGTTGGAAGCGTAGAGGATAGCTGTATTAGCAGAGGGCGAGATAGGCTTCCCTGAAGAGATAGGTTTTCAATGATTGCCTAAAGGTAAGTAGCCTCCCCTGAAGCCAGAATACTAGGTGTCATTCTAGACTCCAATCTTTCCTTCCAGCCCCAGGTCCATTCGCTGACAAACTCATGTAGACTTCACCTCCGCAACATCTCCAAAATACGACCGTTCCTAACCCCAGAAACCACTAAGCAACATATTCACTCCCTCATTATATCACGCCTTGACTACTGTAACTCCCTCCCCACCGGCTTACCCCACCGCAGGCTATCCCCGCTTCAGTCTATCTTGAATGCTGCGGCCAGACTCATCCACCTTACTAACCGCTCCGTATCCGCCACCCCTCTCTGCCAATCCCTCCACTGGCTCCCGATTGCCCAACAGATAAAATTCAAAATGCTAACATTGACTTATAAAGCTGTTCATAATACTGCCCCAAACTACATCACCGATCTGGTATCCAAATACCACCCAAAACGTACTTTCCGCTCCTCACAAGACCTCCTACTCTCTAGTTCCCTGGTCTCCTCCTCCCATGCTCGTCTCCAGGACTTCTCCAGAGCTTCCCCCATCCTCTGGAACTCCCTACCCCAATCTATCAGATTATTACCTACTCTCCTCACCTTTAGGCGCACTCTGAAAACCTATCTCTTCAGGGAAGCCTACCCCGCCCTCAGCTAATTACTGAACTCCTCCACTCTTCCTACCACTCCATCCCCCACAGCTATTTCCTCCTGTACCACTATCCCCTCCCTCCTAGATTTTAAGCTCCAAGGAGCAGGGCCCTCGAACCTCGTGTATTGAATTGTATTGTTACTGTACTGTCTCGTGTACTGTCTCCCATTATAATGTACAGCGCTGGGCAAACTGTTGGCGCTATATAAATCCTGTATAATAATAATAGAGTAGGTGATAGAATGGGGTAGGGAGTTCCAGAGGATGGGTGACGCCCTGGAGAAGTCTTGGAGACGAGCATGGGAGGAGGAGATGAGGGAGCTAGAGAGTAGGAGTTCTTGCGAGGAGCGGAGTGTACAGTTTGGGTGATATTTAGAGAGAAGTTCAGATATGTAAATTGGGGCAGTGTTGTGGATGGCTTTATATATCGTTGTTAGTGTTTTGAATTTTATCCGTTGGGCAACTGGGAGCCAGTGGAGGGATTGGCAGAGAGGGGTGGCAGATACAGAACGGTTAGTAAGGTGGATGAGCCTGGCAGCAGCATTCATGATAGACTGGAGTGGGGATAGCCTGCGATGAGGTAGGCCAATGAGGAGGGAGTTACAATAGTCGAGATGTGATATGACAAGGGAGTGAATAAGTAGCTTAGTGTTGTCCGGGGTTAGGAACTGTCGTATCTTGGAGATGTTGCGGAGGTGAAGTCTACATGATTTTGTCAGCGATTGGATCTGGTGCTGGAATGACAGATGTGAGTCTAGGATTACAGCTAGTATCCTGGCATGGGGGGATGGACTGATGATTGTGTTACCAATATTTATGGTGAGGTCAGTGGAGGTGGCACGGGCTGGGGGGAATACTAAGAGCTCAGTTTTGGAAAGGTTAAGTTTGAGGAAGTGGAGTGACATCCAAGCCAATATGTCACTTAGTAGGCTAGTGATGCAAGTGGAGACTGAAGGGGTGAGGTGAGGGGTAGACAGATTTGCGTGTCATCAGCATACAGATGGTACTTGAAGCCGTGGGAGTTTATCAATGACCAAGGGAGAAGGTTTAGATGGAGAAGAGAAGGGGTCCAAGGACAGAACCTTGAGGGACCCATACAGAGAGAGGGAGTGAAGAGGAGGTAGCCGCGTTATAGGTAACACTGAAGGAGCGCTGCGATAGGAGGAGAACCAGGAGAGAGCGGAGTCTCTGAGGCCAAGAGAGTGTAGTTTTTTGAGGAGGAGGGGATGGTCAACTGTGTCAAAAGCCACGTAGAGGTCGAGTAGTAGGAGTATTGAATAGTGGCTGTTGGTTTTTGCAGTTAGTAGGTCATTAGAGAGTTTTAGTAGGGCAGTTTCAGTGGAGTGTAGTGAGCGAAAGCCAAACTGTAAAGGGTCGAGAAGGTTGTTGTCAGTGAGGTGGGAGCTCAGACGATTGTAGACTAAGCGTTCTAGGAGTTTAGAGGCAAATGGCAGCAGGGAGATGGGTCTTAGGTTGTTTAGGTTGGTGGGGTCTAGGGAGGGTTTTTTAAGTATGGGAGTAATGTGCTCGTGCTTTAGAGGGGAGGGGAAGGCACCTGTAGAGAGGGAAAAATTGAAGATGTGAGTGAGGGAGCATAGGATGGGGGAGGAGGGTGACCAAAGGAGTTGCGAGGGGACAGGGTCCGGGGGGCAGGTGGTGAGGCGGCTTCTGAGAAGAACTTGAGGACCTCCGGTGGTAGTGAGGTCAAAGGAGGAGAGTGTTGAGGGAGGTATGGTATGAGGAATGCTAAGTGGGGTGGGTGTCTGTGTAGTGGCGATCAATAAATAATTAACCGCGCTCTAATATTACCGTGCCAATGCTATATATTATATAATACCATAGCAATACCACTAATTCATATATGCTGTGATATCATTTTATCAACTTTTCAACTGGATTACCTAAATTAATCTTGTTATATTATCCTAGTGCTTAATAAAACTTAAAAATAAAAGGTGTGTAATTAAATCCAATGATGATATTTATGCAGTGTGATTATCTCGTTAAAAATAAATATATAAATTCATAAAATTCACTGTGCAAGTGTGAAAATCAACTGAATATAAATAAATAAAAAATGAAAAAAATATATAAATTCATATCCAATTTGCAAATAGTGCAAAGCAAACAATAAATTGTATATATATTAATGAAAAAAAATAAAATAAAAATAATAAAAAAAATATCAATTCATAAAGTTCAGCAGCAAAAATGTGCAAAAAAGTTTTTAGGGTTCAGCAGGAAGAAGATGTTGGTGATATACTCTTCTTTCAAGTTGCTTATGATGATGTGGATGGAAACCTACGAACTATCTTCTGAGTCTATGTAGACATGAGGTTTTCTCCCTCCTAGAGCCTCTCCTCACTTCAATGCTCAATGTATCCTCATATGACCCATAGAAGAAAGAAAATGAAGAAATATGGTGCCTTATCCAAGGTATAACAAACACTGTTTAATGTGCTCCCATAATGCATTCACATTGTTTTAAAAATTCAACACGCATATAGAAATAAAACCGTGAGCTGCGGTGATGCTCAGCCTCTTAGGAGTGGCGATGTCCCAATGAATCTTGTTTTAGAAGTGCTTTGCAATCTCGTGGGCAGTGAGTGAGGTGCTGGGTGGTGGTGGGGGCGGAGAAAGTAGAGAGTTAAAGGTAGAGAAGAGCCGACGAGGACTCGAAGAGAAGGTATTGATGAGAGTGACAAAGTAGGCTTGTTTGGAATCCAATAGAAAATCTATGGAAAGAACTAAGGATCAGAGTTCATAGAAGAGGCCCATGGAACCTTCAAGATTTGAAGACTGTGTGGAAGAATGGGCCAAAATCACTTATTTGTTTTGGTTTCTTTGTATCTATGGATTCATGCCAATAGCACTTTTAGAAATAAATTTACCAAGAAAAATGGTGATGTGTTCAAAACTTATTTTACCCGCTGTACATATAAAAGCAATAATTTGTTTACAAAACTATGTTAAAAGTATTAAAATAGATAGTCATGACACAACTACATATCCAAAAGGGAGGTGCTGGTGTTTAGCAGCATAGATTCTTCAAGGGTTCATGGCATGCAGATGGATAAATGTGGAACCTTCCATGTTAGTGGCGGGATCGCGGGTTGTTTGTTTTACATTTGTTTTACATTTATCCATATTTGCTTCTTCCCTCTGAAGGCATGCGGTGTGGGGTCTCCATCAGTTCAAGCTAAATCCACATCTTGGGTTATTTTTGACATTCTACATCCAAGTGCACCCCATGAACCACTGAAGGTGTACTGCGAAACGGGCTGGGATACTAGCACCTCCCCTTTGGATATGTAGTTGTGTTATGGCTATCTATGGAGCATGCTTTATTGTCCGTGTATACTGATTTATCTGGGGAGCTTTGCAAGGTTGCTTGAACTGCTGATTAGTTGCTGTTGGATATAACTAGTTCTTTTATGGGGCACATCCCCTAATAATGTTAACATCATTTTGTAATAAAATGTATTGCTTTTACATATTTGTTTTGAGTGTTTCCTGGAGGGAAATGTTTCCACACTGTTTAAAATCCCACAATCATTTCTTTGTTTTTTCCTGATTGATCTATTTAGGGATGTAGTACAGATTATTTAATTGAACCCATTACTTTGCCCTAGACTCCTTAATTTATTTTTGTCACTAGTACTCCCTGTAGCGAAATATCACAAGACCCTCATATATGACATCCTGTATTATGCTTTTAAAGTATGTTATGTATACAGACATGTGGCAAAACATAGCTTTGATGGTACATACTATTCTTTCTCCTTCTAGAGACATTCCATTAGTGGACCTATATCTTCTACTAAATCATTGCCAGGTTTGTCAGAAAAGAGACCAAGTTATGCTGAAATACCCGTACAAGGTATGTAGCATAGGGAAAGATTGAGCATTGTGTTGCACAATGCAATTTAGATCTTTGGTGATTATAATAGAAGTCTGCACTAATCTACCTTTTCGAGAACTCATCTCTTTTCTTCTTTTTTTTTTCTTTGCAGAGCATTTGTTAAGAACTACAGCTGGCAGCAGAACAGCAGCAGCTTTACCTCGGGTTCCAGCCATAGACAGCACAAAATCCATCTCTGGTAAAATTTGAAATTCTTTGCTATGTCAATCATCAATTTGAAACTTTTAAAGGACAGGGGCATTCACCACAAATTCACTGCGTGTGATGAGTCACTGTAAATAAAACCTATTACCCAAAAGGATACATCTCCATTGAATTTTGATGAATGTCACATTTGCTGCTTTGTAAATATGTCCCTTAGTTTTTTTGTTTTTTTTTAAATGTCTATTTATTTGTTACAGGGGTTTAGCACTGTCAATTTACACAGCGCTTTACATTCTGTACATTTACATCAATCCCTGCCATCAAAGAGCTTACAATCTAAGGTCCCAGTCTCACGACAACATACTAGGGCCAATTTAGACAGCAGAAAATTAACCTAAAAGCGTATCTTGAAATGTGGGAAATAACAAGAGTATCTGGAGGGAACCGACACAAGCAGAGGGAGAACATGCACACTCCATGCAGACAGGGTCATGAACAGGATAACATTTTATAATATTGTATATTTGTTTTTTGCTATTTACATGCAATCTTTGCTTTACAAGTTAACATTGTAGTTAGCTAAAAAGGACTGCACAGGCACAACCATTTCCTCCCCAAGCAGGCTAGCTGTCACTGAAACCCGACTGGTTCTCATTGAAACCGAGGTGGCCATTAGAGCTGGATTCTTAGTTTTCCATGTGCATTAAAGTACAGTGAAGGAAATAGGTATTTGATCCCCTGTTGTTGATTTTGAATGTTTGCCCACTCACAAAGAAATTATCAGTCTGAAAATCGAATGGTAGGTGTATTGTAACACTGAGAGACAGAATAGCAACAAAAAATTCAAAAGAATTTCTAACAAACCTAGGGAGACTGACAGTTGTTTTGTGTTTCCTCCATTTGCGAATGATTGCACCAACTGTTGTCACCTTCACAGCAAGCTGCTTGGCGATCCTTTGGTAGCCCAGTCCAGCCTTGTGTAGGTCTATAATCTTGTCCCTGACATCCTTGGACAGCTCTTTGGTCTTTGCCATGGTGGAGAGTTTGGAATCTGATTGTTTGATTGCTTCTGTGGACAGGTGTGTTTTATACAGGTAACAAAATGAGATTAGAAGCACTCCCTTTAAGAGACTGCTTCTAATCTCAACTTACCACCTGTATGAAAGACACCTGGTAGCCAGAAATCCTGCTGAATGATAGGGGATCAAATACTTATTTCCCTCATGAAGATGCAAATCAGTGCTAATTTGTTAGACATGCATTTCTTTTCTGATTTTTTTGTTGCTATTCTGTCTCTCAGTGTTACAATACATCTACCATTCAATTTTTATACTGATCTTTTCTTTGTGAGCGGGCAAACATTTAAAATCAGCGGGGGATCAAATACTTATTTCCTTCACTGTATATGTGTGAATGAGCCCTCCGAAACTCCAAAATACACTAAACTGCAGTGCATAGATGTGAACCAGCCACATAGAAAACAATGGTGTTACTGCTTTCAGTGCATTAAAATGCATGAGTTTTGCTTCATGAAATGAACACTTGTGAATGAATTAATGTGTTAAAACCTAAAGAATACATCACTGTAGTGAGTCATTTTGCTGTGTGTGAACATTTCAGCTCGCACAATCAAGTTTTATAAACTGTGGACTTCTTTCAGTAAAGCTAAGAAGGATACGTAGCTAAACATTTGAAATAAGGACTTGAGCTTTACCTAGGGAGCATACAAAGAATTATATTTACTTGAATAAGTCTAGAGGAAGAAAATATAACAAAACTATTATACATTCACTTTGAAGTTGCATAGCGTTTATAATGTTAATAACGTTTTAGGAGAATGGCAGAATTACGTCATAGCATACCCATAGAAAATGAGAATTAAGGTTATTTTAGTAAATTTGATATATCAGAATTCTATAAACAAATGCAGGAAAAGATGGACAAGTTCAGTATGTATTAATATAAAGAGTGCCTGATTTGCTGTTGGGAAATTATTCTTTCCAGTTACAATTGTCTGTGGAAGTTATTATGTAGCTTCCAAAGGAATGTTTGGATATGTGTTCCTTGTAACATTAACTTCACTTACTAATCCATTTGTTTGCCTTCTCCTTTTGTTTTGTGTCAGTCTTTTTTTTTTTTTTTTTTTTTTTTTACTTCCTGCGCTCAGAATAGAAACAATATTTCATAGGAAGTATCTAACCTGACCTTCCACCGGGATTTCCTGTGCTTGTTTGAGGTCTCATGAGGTGGATACAGGATAGAATTTGAATAATAATTGGTATGCTGTGAAAGTTGTTAGTTGGTATTCATCCAAGCCTCATTGTTGCAAATGAAACAAGCTTTTTATTTTCTGCACGTCTGTCATCTTTCTTTGCTACTGTAACAGAAATTGTATCACGTGCCCAAGTTGTCCTCTTGGTGCCATTATCTGACACTGAAAGCTGTTTCCTTTTACATACCGTCTGTAAGGTTATTTTTGTCCTTTTTCTAGTGTCACGCCGTAGCAGCGAGGAACTGAAACGTGACATCACTGTTCCAGATGGGAGTTCTGCTTCTCCTTTGATGTCAATGACTTCACCCTCATCACAACTATCCCTCACCTCTTCCTCCCCTACCGCGTCTGTCACACCAACTGCACGGAATCGAATTAGGTAAAAGTTTGACATAGCAGCAAACTGGCTCTTCGATGATTAGTTCATTTAAAGCTGAGCTCTAGGCTGATATAAAAGAGAGTTGCCCATTCTACTTGATTTAGGCCTCATGTACACTGGACACTTCTGAACGATGGAAACTGACTGCTGGAAAACGTAGGTTAAAAAAAGTCTGTTTAGCCGCGTTTGCATACTGCGTTTGAGCGTTTGCGTTTAGGAGCATTTTTTTAAAGATATACTCAGGAGACCTTCGAAAATGCCTAGAATGCACTGAAAAACAGTAAAAATTATCTATTTCAGACATTTTGAGAGAAATAGAGAGAGCAGTATTTGTTGAGATTAGTTGTCTTTTTTTGTGGTGTTTGGATGTGTTCCAGCTCATTTCTGTGCAGAAATTATTGCAGCAGTGTCTAACATATTTTCTTTCATGCAAAACCTCAAAGTATGGTGTACCAGGTCCATTTGAGTACCGGGAAAACGCTTTGCAAGCATTTCTCATGATGATAAAAGGTTCAGGATAGCATCTGGAAATGGAAGAGTTAATAAAAAATTTTCAAAAGCAAATGCTTTAAAAGTGTTCACAAGCATTTGGGGTTTGAAGCGCTGATAAAATCTACTTCTGAATGCAAGTTTTCTGCGTTCAAAAAAACAACTGTAAGCTCAACTGCCTGGAAACGACTGTAAACGACAGTGTACATGGACACATAGGAAAACATTAGGGAGAGTTCAGGGGCTGCTGAAAAAAACGCTGAGCAGCTCCTAAACATGAGTTTATCAGCTGCAGTGAGCCCTTAGTTCCCACTGGGATTTGCCTGTACACAATAATGGCGCCAACATTTAACCATTAGCGCCCGGCCAATGGCCGTTTGGCGGCTTCAGATGTGTATCTGCATTCCGGGTGCACGCCATTTGGCGTGCTCCCGCACATGCGCCGTTTGCGCTAGTGCAGAGCGGCGCAGCAGTGCGATCTGTCATCGACCGTGCACCTCGGACACGGCCGATGCAGATCCGAGTACCGGCTCCCGTTGCTGGTACCATGTGACCTGCTGTGACCAATCACAGCAGGTCACATGACAGTTGTATACAATGGATGGCTTCATTCATGATGCCATCCATTGTATACTAGTGCCTAGCTGTGAATGGTCACAGCACATGTCATGTGATTAACTGTGACCAAATCACAGCTAATACACAAAAAAAAAAAAAAAAAAAAAAAAGCTGAATGAAATCGATTTCATTCAGCTTTTTTTTTTTTTTTTTTAAATGCTTGCTTATAGCAAAGTAATTCTTTGCTATAAGCAAATTGTGTAAAAAAAAAAAAAAATACTGATCACTTCCCCAAAGTAGTACAATGTTACTATGGTAACATTGTACTATTTTGGTCATAGTAAAATATGAAAAAAAATCTTAAAAAAAAAAAAAAAAAAATGTAATAAAAAATTAAATATAATAAAAAAATTAAAAAAAAAAAAAAAAAAAATATATATATATTTTTTTTTCATACTGTCACCAGTCAGTGTCCCTGTTCACCGCCATGCCAGTTATATGATGACACTGTACTGCACTGGTGACAGTATGTAAAAAAAAAAATAGTGAAAATTTTTTTTCGTTTTTTTTCATTTTCCGAAAAATTATGACAAAAAAATACAACTTCAAAAAACTCGCTATGCCTCTTATGAAGTACAACGGACTGTCTACTCTGCAAAAAGGGGTCATTTGGGGGATATCTGTACTATTCTGACATTCTTGGACCTCAAGATATTAGATTGGCCGTCAATACTTCAGGATTGATCAATTTTCATATCTATGCCATAGTTTGTGAACTCTATAACTTTCCTAAAAACTAAAAAAATACATCCTAATTTGGGTTATTTTCACCAAAGACATGTAGCAGAATACATCTCTGCCTAAATTTATGAAGAACAATTATTTATTTGTAAACTTTTATAACAGAAACAAAGAAAAATGTGTTTTTTTTTTTCAAAATTTTTGGACTTTTTTGTTAATTTAGCAAAAAATAAAAACCCCAGTGGTGATTAAATACCACCAAAAGAAAGCTCTAGTTGTGTGAAGAAAATGATAAAATTTTAGTTTGGGTACAGTGTTGTATGACCGCGCAATTGTCATTCAAAGTGTGAGAGCGCTGAAACCTGAAAAATGGCCTAGGCAGGAAGGTGTAAAATTGCACGGTATTGAAACGGTTAAACACTCTCTCTGTGCAAACTGCTTTGTGCTATGTTGATGGTTGTGATGTCCATAGAAAATGTAATCAGGCTCCTACTGCCCACTGTGCCCTCCTCCCTCGTTTGGCTCCAGATTGTAAAATGTGCTGTCTCTGTACTCCCTCACTGTTTGTGACTGTGTCTCTGCAGCCTCCCATTCCTTCCTTCTGATGTGAGGCTGGGTCTCTGCAGCCTCTTACTGCCTTTACTATGCTGTGTAACTTTCTAGACATATCTTCCAATAATATCTTCCAATATGCTGGAAAGTTCTGCTACATAAAACAGGATTCTTTTTTTTTTTTTTTTTTTTTTTTTTTGAAAATGTCTTTTTCAATTAACAGTTGGTACAGCCATCCAGACAGTAACAAAAAAACCTGCCCATGGTGGCATTACAGAGAACAATAGGATAATTTGTCTAACATGCACAGCTAAAGTTCACCAGAAAGCAAATGAATACTAGGGCCGGTGAAGTGTAAACCACAATAGAATACTCACAGACAAACATAGTAGTAGCCCTTGGCCCACCAACCCTACAAGACTATACTTTTTATTAGGTAAAGGGTAATCCACTATTGTTGTAAAGGGGACGTGACAATGCTGTCATGTTAAAAGTTGTGTGCATACCAGGTTTATCAAACCTCCATGGCCTTTTACTTTCCAACTCCTATTCTTATACTTGCACTTTTGTTGTGCGCTGTAATTGGTTCTTTGCAAATATAGGAATCCTTTGTAAGTTCAACTAAATGCAGTTTGCCTTATCACTACTAACCAGATTAGATTCCTCCTTGGTTATTCAGAGTATATTTTTTCAGTTGCCCTTTTTTTTTTTATCTATGCGAACAGCAATTACATCTCTCTCCACATTTTGTTGAATTTTCTTATATATTGATTTTTGTGGGGAGGTCTTCTGTCGGATACTCAGGGCTTTGTGTGGAGAGAGCTAGCTCCATACAAATTTGGCTCTTTAAAGAGGAACTAAACCCTCCTGTCTTTTACAGCTAAAGATGGCACCATCTTCACCTCTATTAAAGCGGAATCTATCCTTTATCCTTTGTAGCTAAGGAATCTGCCATCTTAGGCTCCGTTTTGATCTGCAGTGCTGCACATGTGATAGTTATGACACCAACCCTTTGACGGCTTGACAGTTCAGTTGAGAGAGGACATCAGTTAACTGGCAACTGTGAAAATTCTCACTAAGAGGGTTGCCTTGAAAAACAGTTACATTTATGGGTTTATGTCCTCTTTAAAAAAATTTATACAACCAGCTTAATCACTTGCCTACCAGGCACTTATACCCCCTTCCTTACCAGGCCAATTTTCAGCTTTCAGCGCTGCCGCACTTTGATTGACCATTGCGCGGTCATGCAACATTGTACCCATATGAAATTTTGATCATTTTTTTCTCACAAATAGAGCTTTCTTTTGGTGGTATTTAATCGCCACTGGGCGCTTTACTTTTTGCGCTATAAATAAAAAAAGTGCAAAAAATTTGAAAAAAAAAAAAGTTTGTTTCTTTTATAAAATTTTTCAAACAGGTATTTTTTCTCCTTCACTGATGGGCACTGATAGGCGGCACTGATGGGCACTGATAGGCAGCACTAAAGGGCACTGATAGGCAGTACTAATGAGGTGGCATGGATAGGCAGCACTGATAGACAGCACTAATTAGGGGTCACGGATAGGCGGCACTGATATGCAGCACTGATAGGCGGCACTGATAGGTGACACTGATTATGGGTACTGATAGACGGCACTGACTGGCATCACTGCTGGGCACTGACTGGCGGCACTGACTGGCACAACCCCTGGGCACTGACTGGTGGCACTGACTGGCAGCACTGCTGGGCTGCACTGGTGGGTGGCACTGGTGGGCAGCACTGGTGGGTGGGCACAGGTGGGTGGCACTGGTGGGCACAGGTGGGTGGCACAGGTGGGTGGCACTGCTGGGCACATGTAGGTGGCACGTCTGGGCACAGGTAGGTGGCACTGCAGAGTGGCACAGGTGGGTGCACTGCTGGGCACAGGTGGGGGCACTGCTGGGCACAGGTGGGGGCACTGCTGGGCACGGGTGGGCGGAGCTAGTGGGCGCACTGCTGGGCGGAACTTGCGGGTGTCACTGCTGGGCACCGATCATCAGGGCACTGATGATCGGTGCCGATCCCCGCTCTGACAACTGCCGGTTCTTGGCAGTACTTTCCTCACGATCTGACAGCGTGAGGAAAGTGCAGCCGAGAACCGGCACTTGCATTTCCCTGTGATCAGCGTGTCATTGGACACCGCTGATCACGTGGTAAAAGGCCGCTGTGATTGGCCTTTTACCACATCACGTGATCAGCTGTGTCCGTAGGACACAGCGATCACGGAGATCGCCGGGTGCGCGCCCCCTGGGGCGCGCAGGAGAGCGCGTTCTGGGAGGACGTCATATGACGTCCACCCAGAACTGGCCGGCCGCAGTGAAGCCGTCATTCGGCTATGCGCGGTCGGCAAGAGGTTAAAGTTCCTTCCAGTCCTTTTTCCCTCCAGTAAAAAATGTGTTTAACCTTTTCAGTTCTTTGGATATGTCTAAAGTCTGAAGAGGTGAAAACAAACTCACAGCTGCTGTATCAGCTGTGAACTTGTTTCATTTTTATGCACAGTGCTCCTGGCTTTTGTGTAATATTGATCTGGACGTCTAACCTCCACTCAGTGGTTCCCGAGCTCTCCCGTTCCTCCTGAGAGCCCTGGACCAAAACAGACTCTTGTCAGGATGGCGAGCGGTGGGAGACGTGGAAACATCTGTTCCCTGAGTATGAACCCAGAAACATCCAGCTCTGACAAATTCCAAGTTCAAAGCAGTCAAAATCCCTGATTGAATACCGGGTGCACAGTAGATCAAGCACAGGACTAAGCTTGAGCTGCTGGAGAAGAAAGCTGGGGAGATATTGTGGATCAAGAAGAAGACCTCGGATGTCTTCATAAGCCTTACCTGTCAAGAGTACCTGGACTTGTGAACTTTATTGCTATCACAAGCGTGCAAAAAGTTTCAATAAAAACATTAGGAAAAAGAAAAAAACATTTAAAAAACAGTGAAATAAATATATATTGCCACGTACGCCAGTGAGAGCAGTAATACTGGGTCTCTTATTTATGGCAAACTGAACTGATGGAACCATAAAGGCATATACATCATTACCTATTGATAATTTTGGGTACTTCATTTTTTTTTTTTGCCATTTTGGGGCTATACACAGTTTTGAGGTTTGACATGGTATCAATTTACTCAAGACTTCCTCTTGTTTTGTACAAAAAGGAATTATTTATTTATTTATTTATTTGAGGTACTTGCGCTGTCAATTTACGCAGCGCTTTACACATATATATATTGAACATTCACATCAGTCCCCTAACCCTCAAGGGGTGTACAATCTAAGGTACCTAACTCACATTCATACATACACACATTAGGGCCAATTTAGACAGGAGGAAACCGGAGCACCCGGAGGAAACCCACGCAAGCACAGGGAGAACATGCAAACTCCATGCAGGTTGGGAATAGAACCCATGACCCATTTACTGCAAGGCAGACATGCTAACCACTAAGCCACTGTGCTGCCACTGTGTGCACAAGCCTTCATTTTAGTGCATTTTTCCTGAAAATTTAATAGGCAGGTGCGCAAATCTTGTATGACATAAAATAAAATGCAATAAAAATTGCAGCTAGCATTTTTTTTTTTTTATTCTGCATGACCTTTGCATTTGGAAAATATATAATATTTTGGGGATTTAGGTAATGTTATAGCAAAAATGCAGATTTTAACGTGTGAAAATTTTCCAGAGAGGAAGAGGTTAAGTACATGTGTATCCAGTCACTAATATTCTGTATCTTAGATGCTAAAATAATGTAATATACTGTGTTATATTCCCCTGCAAGGTAACGACATCGTGTGCTAGTATGTATCACATACTAGCACATTATGAAGGACTTACCCTAAAACGAAGCTCTCTAGCAGCACGCTGGCACCGCTGCAGAAGCTGCCATTTTCACCCGGTCTTCCTCCTGGGTTCTTGGGCTGCGGGCACTTGATTGGCTGAGCTGCTATGATGTCACTCGGCTGTTGCGCACGGCTCTGAAGGAATGGCACAGGTATGCCATTCCTTCAGAGCGCATACGCCAGTGATGTCACTGGTTGCTGCCCCCTAGAATATTTCCTAAACAGTGCACGTTTAGGAGATAATCATTTTACCTACAGATATGCTTTATTATAAGCTTACCTGTAGGTAAAAATTAAAAATGAGTGTACTACCACTTTAAAGCCCAATGGAAATTTCAGTTTAAAACCACTAAATACATCAAAAGGTATGCCAAGTCTTACAATTCACTTTCTTTGGAAAGTAGCCACAGCCCGAGTAGATAATCCTGTCTCCTGCCAGCACGGCGCAGAGAAGACCTTTGCTTGCTGTGTGGAAGCAGTGGTCTTTCTGCAGTTTTCTGATTGTAGAGGTTTATTACATATAAAAATTATACAGGCAACAGACACCAAGCTGCATTAGTGGTGTTTTGTGAACTATAATAATGAACACCGGTCAAGGGGCACTGCAGCGGGAGCTAGTTGAATTCTCTAGGATGTGCTTGTTTATTTGCTGATACTGTTTATTGATTGATCTATGGACTCATTATGCTGTGCTGCAAGAAGGTTGTTCCTTCTGTATTCTCTTGTACTCTTATTCCCTTAATGTACAGAAAGATGATCATGTTCCCCATATGTTTGTTTGTTTTTTTTTTTTTTTTGTAGCAGCTTTAAAATATTACAGTTGTTAGTTTTCTTAATCTAAGCAAACATTTTCTATTTTAGGGAGGAAAGAAAAGACCCCTTGGCAGCCCTTGCAAGAGAGTATGGTGGCTCCAAGAGGAATGCTTTGCTAAAGTGGTGTCAGAAGAAGACTGAGGGATACCTGGTAAGCATGGAAATGTGAAATGAATGCTAGTGCCTTGTGAACTATTTAGACACTTTGCATATACACCCAACTGGCACTGCAGGAGTTATTAAAAAAAAAGAAGCTGTAGAGTGTTTTAAAAGTGCATATTTTGATTTATTGTAATGTTTGCCCTAATGTCAATTTTGGTTTGAGTTTCCCTTGCGTGGCAGGAAAGAGATGTAAGGAAGTTCATGGACAGTTAAATATATAGGGCATGCACCACAAAAAACATTATCGCAAAGTGCTTTGTGCAATGGTTTCCAGCTGTCAGCGTCCACTGGTCTCCAAATCTGTATACTTCAAAAGAATGTTACCTGCACCAAGGGCTTCAAGAAATTGTACGAGCTTATTGCTTCAAAAGCAGCTGTGCGCTTGCGTTTACTTCCTTCAACAGGGTTTTAGCTGTTAAGCTTCCCATTCACTTCTCCATCTTATTTAACTACCTGGTGCATTTACAAAACAGAGAGCGGTGCATGTTTATTTCTGCAGAGTTGTTTATAATTGGCACTTGAGAAATCACCTTTGGTGCGCATTAGATGGCTCAGATCAGACTCTGTGTACAGAGCTAAATCAAGCAGCTCTGTACCTTGTGATCGCTGTGACGACCAATCACATTAATCACAAATGTAAACAGTATAACTGTTTACAGTGGAGAGCCTGCCCTGTAGGAAAGGGAGGAATGAGGAACCATCTGATCTCCAGCCTTTCTCAGTATGTGATTTCTATGTTAAACCTTTATCACCCCTTATGACCTGTACATTAACCCTTTCAATGCCTCCCTCTGTTCATGACCTGTACATTTCATGATGTGCTGTATATAGTGCACCATTAACAAGCTCTGTGTGTTAACCACAGTCAGAAATGAATCTGGGTACAGTGTTGCCTGACCCAGTCATCATCAAGCTGTCATGTAGCTGAAAGCTGTCCTAGCAATGGCCTGGTATTACTGTCAAAGAGGTTACAATGTATTTTATTGGACTTTTAGTAAACAAGTGTTTAAAAATGTACACAGTTTCATTTTATAGTAAAGGAGGCAGACCTGCACCATATGTGATAGTAATTTTGCTGCTGATAGGTACCCCTTATGGAGACACAAAGGGGTTTATTTACTAAAGCTGGAGAGTCCAAAATCAGACTCCCTTCTGCATAGAAACCAATCAGCTTCTAACCTCAGCTTGTTCAGTGAAGCTTTGGCAATGAAACCTGGAAGCTGATTGGTTTCTATGCAGAAGGGAGTCTGATTTTGGACTCTCCAGCTTTAGTAAATAAACCCCAAAGGGTCTATTACACCCCTAATGTCTCTCCTACACTTTCTTGATCTGCTTCTTACCTGGCTGCTCAAGCCAGGAGTTGACAGTTCAGAATCGGGAAGTGCATGCTCAGAGCTGGACTTTTTTTGGGATCATCCCTTACAGGGTAACAGATGTTCCTCAAACTTTCCCTGTTTTTCATCCTCACAGCAGACTTCACAGAACGCCTACAATTTAGTTAGCTAGAAATGCTGCTTTTGTTCTGCTCTCTGATCCAGTGTCACTTTGTTACTGCATGAATTTGTTACTCTGCCCATAAAACATCTCAGTGGCCAGTAGAGGCATTCAGAGGAATGGCATTTAATGGGGTTGATGAAGTTTAATCATGAAGCCAAGGCAAGTCAAGCCCCAATACCAACATGAAACTAAATCTGAGAGGGGCAAAAAAAAGAAAGCAGGCATGGATGTTTTCAAGTACTTACCCTTGCATTGCTGTGGTGTGAACAGGCTCCATTGACATAAGTGGATTCTTTAACTACTGTGCATCTTGCCCACATTAGAAAATGCTTCAGACTGTGTGGAATCACATGGAGTGTAAACAAGTCTCTGAGCTAATAACATTCATGTATACCTCTAAATAACTTTAAATCTATAGATTCCATTTAAATGTGGATCTGACCCTGAACAGGTGTAAGCAGATCGTTAGGCTGGTTAATTAGGTCCTGGGTTATTAAGCAGCACTCTCCCTCTCTCTCCCGGGAGCGGATGAGGGATAGTTACCGGGATACATGTAGCTCCATCTGTCCACGACCAGGAAGGAATTAACAATTGCTCTTTGCATACACAGATGGTAGGTTGGTAACTCCTGCTATTTATGCTTCTCGCTGTTTTTGCACTAAAACAGTTATTTCAAGAATGGCAATTTTTTTTTTTCCTACCATCTTTATATGAGCAGTGAGATATGACTACCCTTATGTATTTTAAAAACAGATGCTGTCAACAGGCTTATAAAATGTACTGAAGCAGTTGTAAAAATATTCCAAATACTAAAAGATGTTTTTTCAATATCTTAACTTTTTTGTTGACTTCAATAGATTTTTGTCTATTTGCAGTGTAAAGATTCAACTGTTGATTTTATCCTTTTGTACATTTTTTATAAAAAGACAAAAAAATAAATAAATAAAAAGGTTCAACTGCCTTGTACACAGTAATTACACTGTTCTTGGAGCAGATTGCTTTTTTTTTATTTATGTGTTTTTTTTAATTATTTTTTGTGCTGTATGATTAGGAAAAAAAAATAATTTTATGTTATGCACTAAAAATGTTCTCCTTTTTATTATTACTCTTATCAGCACTGTATCATATAATCAGTGTGTCCATTAAAAAGTAAAATCTATATACACAGTGAGGAACAGAAGTATTTGAACACCCTGCGATTTTGCAAGTTCTCCCACTTAGAAATCATGGAGGGGTCTGAAATTCACATTGTAGGTGCATTCCCACTCTGAGAGACAGAATTTAAAAAAAAATTCAGGAAATTACATTGTATGATTTTTAAAGAATTTATTTGTCTTGCACTGCTGAACATAAGTATTTGAACACCTAAGAAACAGCAAGAATTCTGGCTCTCAAAGACCTGTTACTGTGCCTTTAAAATGTCCACCTCTACTCCACTCATTAATTAACTTAGCAGCACCTGTCTGAGCTCTTTAAAGACACCTGTCCACCCCACAGTCAGTCAGACGCCAAATACTACCATGAGCAAGATCAAAGAGCTGTCAAAAGACAACAGAGACAAAATTGTGGATCTCCACAAGGCTGGAAAGGGCTACGGGGCAATTGCCAAGCAGCTTGGTGAAAATAGATCAACTGTTGGAGCAATTGTTAGAAAATGGAAGAGGCTAAAGACGACTGTCAGTCTCCCTCGGACTGGGGCTCCATGCAAGATCTCACCTCGTGGGGCATCACTGATAAGAAAGGTGAGGAATCAGCCCAGAACTACAAGGGAGGAGCTGGTCAATGACATGAAGAGAGCTGGCACCACAGTTTCAAAGGTCACTGTCCGTAGAACACTACGCCGTCGTGGCTTCAAATCATGCATTGCACGGAAGGTTCCCCTGCTCAAGTCATCACATGTCCAGGCCCGTCTGAAGTTTGCCAATGACCATCTGGATGATCCAGAGGAGGCATGGGAGAAAGTCATGTGGTCAGATGAGACCAAAGTAGAACTTTTTGGTCTAAACTTCACTCGTCGTGTTTGGAGGAAAAAGAAGGATGAGTTGCATCCCAAGAACACCATACCTACTGTGAAGCATGAGGGTGGTAACATCATGCTTTGGGGGTGCTTTTCTGCGAAGAGGACAGGACGACTGCACTGTATTAAGGAGAGGATGAATGGGGCCATTTATTGTGAGATTTTGAGGAACAACCTCCTTCCCTCAGTCAGAGCATTGAAGATGGGTCGTGGCTGGGTCTTCCAACATGACAACGACCCGAAGCACACAGCCAGGATAACCAGGGAGTGGCTCCGTAAGAAGCATATCAAGGTTCTGGAGTGTCCTAGCCAGTCTCCAGACCTAAATCCAATATTTGAACACCCTGCAATTTTGCAAGTTCTCCAACTTAGAAATCATGGAGGGGTCTGAAATTCCCACTCTGAGAGACAGAAATTTAAAAAAAAATGCAGGAAGTCACATTGTATGATTTTTAAAGAATTTATTTGTCTTGCACTGCTGAACATAAGTATTTGAACACCTGGGAAAATCAGTGTTAATATTTGGTACAGAAGCCTTTGTTTGCAATTACAGAGGTCAAACGTTTCCTGTAGTTCTTGACCAGGTTTGCACACACTGCAACAGGGTTTTGGCCCCTTCCTCCACACAGATCTCCTCTAGATCCGTCAGGTTTCGGGGCTGTTGCTGTGCAACACGGAGTTTCAGCTCCCTCCAAAGATGTTCTATTGGAGTTAGGTCTGGAGACTGGCTAGGCCACTCCAGAACCTTGATATGCTTCTTGCGGAGCCACTCCTTGGTTATCCTGGCTGTGTGCTTCAGGTCGTTGTCATGTTGGAAGACCCAGCCACGACCCATCTTCAATGCTCTGACTGAGGGAAGGAGGTTGTTGCTCAAAAACTCACAATAATTGGCCCCATTCATCCTCTCCTTAATACAGTGCAGACGTCCTGTCCCCTTCGCAGAAAAGCACCCCCAAAGCATGATGTTACCACCCCATGCTTCACAGTAGGGATGGTGTTCTAGGGATGCAACTCATCCTTCTTTTTCCTCCAAACACGACGAGTGACCACATGACTTTCTCCCATGCCTCCTCTGGATCATCCAGATGGTCATTGACAAACTTCAGACGGACCTGGACATGTGATGACTTGAGCAGGGGAACCTTCCGTGCAATGCATGATTTGAAACCATGACGGCGTAGTGTTCTACCAACAGTGACCTTTGAAACTGTGGTCTCCGCTCTCTTCATGTCATTGACCAGCTCCTCCCTTGTAGTTCTGGACTGATTCCTCACCTTTCTTATCATCAGTGATACCCCACGAGGTGAGATCTTTCATGGAGCCCCAGTCCGAGGGAGACTGACAGTCGTCTTTAGCCTTTTCCATTTTCTAACAATTGCTCCAACAGTTGATCTATTTTCACCAAGCTGCTTGGCAATTGCCCTGTAGCCCTTTCCAGCCTTGTGGAGATCCACAATTTTGTCTCTGGTGTCTTT